GTAACCCTATCTTTTACATTATGCTGTATCTTTTAAATTGGCTATTCTGTTTGTGTGCACTTAAATTTGTTTTAGTGTATTATTTCCTGAAAATATAAATTTGGCGGAGATTTGTGGAAATATCATGCTTTTAGAAAAATATACTTGGTAGTTGAAAGACAATGTCTAGCATAAAAATGCAGATTTTAACGCGTGTTAAAAAATGATTTATTATTATTATTTATTTCAGGTACTTGTATAGCGCCATCAATTTACGCAGCGCTTTACATATATATTGTACATTCACATCGGTCCCTAACCCTCAAGGGGCGTACAATCTAAGGTCCCTAACTCACATTCATACATACACATACTAGGGCCAATTTAGACAGGAGCCAATTAACCTACCAGCATGTCTTTGGAGTGTGGGAGGAAACCGGAGTACCCGGAGGAAACCCACGCAGGCACAGGGAGAGCATGCAAACTCCCAAAAAATAAAACAAATTGTCCTGGATTTCAATTGGTTAACCTGTATGACTAAAAGATGAAGCACCTCTGGCAGTGTGTCCCAAACCCTGTAGCTGCCAGTTTTGTTGGAGAGCTTGATCTCTTATAGAAAGCAGAAAATATCAGATATTATGACAGAACGAGGCTCTGTCACTGTGAAAATATAGGAAAATGTGACATTTCATTTAAGGTAAATATGACATTCCAGACTAGTGTTTCTTGGCAGGGAAAGCTGTGTCTTTGTCTTTCTCCGAATTGTGTAGTTTCGGTTTGGAACATTCATTCCTGTGTCCGGGTTTTGCTAGACACCTGCAACCTGACTTGAGTACACAGGTGTGTGGTGTCATTATATACTTAGGTCTGAGGATGGCTCAGAGCTCCAAGTTTGGAGACCACTCCCAGTATGGGAGACAGAAAGTCTCATTGAGGGGTCAGAGGACGCAGCCGGAAGGCAAGGGACAGAGGTCTCAGTTCCAGAAGTCAGGCCATCTATCGGGGTGTCAGGAGAACCCCAGTCCATAGGCCAGATGTGGGCCATGCAGCAGGGTGCTGTGATTAAAGGCTAAAGAGCTAGGTTTCCAAGAGAGCAGGACAACACAGTCTGAGAGACTGGTTAGAGGTGCAGCGTGGTACTGCCATTGAAGCTGAGTGAACTTATGAGCCAGGTGGCTCAGCATTTTCCAGTGTGTGTATTTTTGCTGAAGTTGGAGAAGATCCCGTGCATGGGAAGTCATTCATTTGTGAACTTTAGTTTTCTTTTAAATAAAATTGTGCTACCAAGCCCTTAAAGTGTTACTAAACCCAGGACCCTGCATTCTCTATATCTGGTCTTCCACAGTACACAGAACATGAACATGCAATTATTTTAGTAAATATAAACTTCTAAATACCTTTTCTAATTAGTAGTTAGAGCAGTCTTGTGACTTCTATCAGTGTCCAGCCAAGCACATGTTAAAGCTTGTAGGAGGAGTTTTAATTTTGCTCTAGGAGGATGCAGAACTTCTGACCTCTGTCTGGACAGTGCTGATTGGCCCTGTGCTGATCACATGCACTCTCCTACTCTCCTAAGGTAAAAAAAAAAAACCTCTCTAGCAATACAAACCAAACTTTGCATGTGTCTCCACATGATATGTCTTATCAGGAGATAAGAAGGGGGACACTGGAAGAAGGGGAGGATCAGAGAAGTCAGGATCAAACAGTGTTTTACACAATGCAGAGGGTTAACCCCTTAGGTTCCACAGTGAGTATAACAAGCATGCTTTATTGCATATACAGACTGATTTTACTGTTGTGGTTTTAATAACACTTTAAAAATATTTGCTGTTTTGACGAGGACTCACTAAAATAACGCATTTACCACTAGAGTTATCTACCCCATGTCACAACATGCTAGCAAGATCGACTGTTAATAAAACTATCTTTCAGTGGGAATTTAGAAGGACTTCTGCTAGAGACATTCATCCTTATTAAAATTAAAACCCAAGTTTTACTTTAGGTGTAACTTGTTTAGCATATACTATATTTTACTATATACTATATTTTTGTAGAGCTCTATTTTTCTCTTTTCTTTTATCTTAATATAATTTTCACTCCTTTGTTTTCCAGTTCGAAGAATGCAAACGAGTGGTATTCTGTTCCAGATATTTCCATTACATGACAGAGAAAAATTAAAATTGCTGGCTAAAAATTGGTATGGTCGGCCCACTATTTCTCAGCAGCCTGTAGGTAAGACCCTTCATTATGTGCCACTGCTGATTGAACTATTTGTTGTTCATCTTTCCTGAGAGAGGTATCTATCAACCTTATTTTTCAAGTGCAGCTGATCTAGTTAAGGCATTTTTTTATATTCAGGATGTGAAATGTGTTTTATTACCTGTACATTCCAAGTCCATTTGTGTTTTAAATCACTTGCAGTTTCCCCTATTGTGTGTCTACTTTATTCAGAAGTCCTGTTAAAAAATTGAGCCACTTCAATGGTGGTAATAGCTCCTTCAGACCAGTGTCTTTTGTTTGCTTCAGAACTGCTTCTCTCCAAGGGAAGAATCTAACGTGGGTCTCCTGTGGATGACATCACAGTCCCTCACTGCCTCCGTGACCTAAGGCAAAATGGCGCTGACGCACCACACATGCGCGAATAGCCAGCAAAATGGCGGCTGCGATAAGCGCGGGCGCCATTTTCAAACATAAATAGAAGCAGCAGAACATCCACACTGTAAGCCCAGCACCCTATGATGATGTGCATAGCACGAAACGCGTCAGTGGGGGCTACAGTTACTGGACGTTTAACCACCGCTGGTGGCCATCCTGAATCTTATATGGTCAGTGATATCTTTTCTAATGCTTGTACCTGTTTACACCTGTTTTGACAATAAACTAGCCTACGGTATCACACTATGTGGTGTCCCTTATTGGGCTCTCTTTATTGAGAGCCTTCATCCGCAGAGCCTGCTCCATAGGGAACCCCTGAAGGTGATGCGTATCTGAGCACCCTATCCTAGACGTGACCAGAAGGTGTACAGGATCCTGACCGTTCCGAGGATGCAGATGAACTGATTTATACCTGGTGAGACAGGCATATCTCAAAGGCGTATTATTTACGCACTTCTGGTGAGTGCGCAATCTATTTCACCTCTTATCATCTGCCACCTCGGATCAAGTCCTCCACGCACCTATTCAAGGATCACATTAGATCCTCACGTGGGCTCTATACATCTTGGGACATTTTATCCATTACTAGTCACCATTGATGACATGTGACATTGCACTTTATACGGATTTATTCACCACCATTTAATTTATGGTTTTTATTGTATAATTTATGGTTTTTACTGTATAATATTTATATGTCTTTCACTTAGCGCTGCACCTTAATCTTGCCATTATATCTGTTATTTTTAAACATCCTGTAATAGTCCATCAGCACTGTTCATTCGCAAGAAAGCATGTAGTCTTAAATCAGAACTAAACCCTCCTATTGTTTTCAGCCGTCTGTCATATTGGCCTTGTCTTAGTCTTCGCTTGACCTGCAACTGGCATGGTGCTGCAAATGTGATCAGTTATGACACCAGTCATTTTATGGTTTGACAGTTTAACTGAGAGCACAAGCAAATGTGACCATTAGCATTCCCGGCATGCTGTTGTTGTGCTACTGTCTTAAGAGCCGCTGGTTTTGGGTCCCTCTTTTTTTCCTGCACAGCCAAGCAACAAACATTTTCCACTTGTACGAAGACACAAAAGACAGTCCATGGGCTTGTTTTTGTACTTTTATTAGGGGGTTTAACTTGGATAGTGTAAGTAAAAATACTATAAAAATGGCATGACTATGGCAAGGAATGACTGTTTTAGCTAGAACCCTGACAGTCTTCAGAAGAGTAAGCAATTTGCAGGAGCTCTGAGTCCCCTTGAATGGATTTTAGCAAAGTCATTATTTTGTAAGAGCTCCAAGTACCATAAGTGAACAAAATACCAGCCCACCTGGCTACGGTATCTGATCCCAGGACAAGGGTATGGGTAAGCTATGCACTGTCTCCTGAGGACTTGCCTAGAACTTGCATCTGTCAGACTTCTCCGTTCCAGGCCCTGGGGATGTAGAGCTACTCACACTGTCCTTGTCATGCAGCTGTGGGTAGAACTGCTTTCAGTCCTCTGTAGCTGGGCTGGTTCCTCTACAAGCTTTGCAGGCTGTCCTTCCCTGGTGGACTGCAGGGCAGTGGAGCTCCCTCTTTCAGTTCTCCTCTTTCATCCTCCAGCTTCCAGCCTCTAGCCCGGAGGCAGAACCCCCCCTTCTCTGGGGCCCCCTCCCAGGCTACACAGCAGCACCTGTCAGCACTCCATCTTCCACCGACTTCCCTGCTGGCCAGGCTCTGTCATATTTATGGGCTGGTCTGCCACACTGCCAGGCCTCCTGCCTGGGATAATTCATACTCTCATACATATGTAGATCATCCCCTTCTCACCTCTGCCTACTGACTTCTAGAAGCCTCTCCAAGTTTCTATAGCAGGGAGAGGTACCAGAGAAATGGCCTGTAGAGCCTTCCAGTTTGACCTGAAGTAACCATCTATCTAAACCAGGCTTCTAGCAAGCCTCTGACTACTCTTACCAACTATGTATACCACAGGGCGATACACTGGGAATGTAACTGTTTTTTAAAATCATTAAATCGATGGGTTTAGTTCAGCTTTAAGTAAAAGACAAACACATTTATACCAGCTATGCAACATGCTTTCTTTTATTTTTGGAGAAAATAAAAAAGTTTAAAGTGTAACTATGTGCAAAATAAAAACAATTTTTTTCTGGTAATTTGACAGATTACATCCTTAATGTAAAAAGCCAGCAAATTTCTGCATATGCTGTTCTTTTTACTTTAGTCTTTAGAATATGTTCTCTACAGTGTAGACTTCCATTGATTTCTAATGAATTATACATTTCTTTTGCAGATGAAATACGGCATTATTTTGGAGATACTATTGGTTTATACTTTGCATTCCTAGAATACTTTACTTGGGCCTTATTACCAATGGCTAGTGTTGGACTTCTTTATTATGCATTTACATGGGAAAGCTATGACAACTATGTGATATTTGCTATGTTCAATCTGATATGGGCAACTGTTATCCTGGAGGTCTGGAAGCGCTACAGTGCAACACTGACCTACCGATGGGGTTCACTACTTATGAAGAGGCAGTTTGAAGAACCCAGGCCTGGCTTTCATGGTGTGCTGGGTACAAATCCCGTTACAGGAAAAAAAGAGCCAACTTACTCAAGTTTGAAAAGACGCCTTAGAACATATCTAATTTCTGTGCCTTTTGTGTGCCTCAGCTTGACTTGGCCCTTTATGTGATGATGATTTACTTTGATATGGAAGCCTGGGCCTTGAAATACCACCACGAGCATCAGACATTTTCTACTGCAGTAGTGACATTTGTGCCCAGTACAGTGTATGCCATTGTGATCGAGATCATGAATCGTATTTACAGATATGCAGCAGAATTTCTGACAAGTTATGGTAAGATTTCTTTTGTTCTTAGTATAGCATATAAAAAGCTAAGCACTGATTAGAGTGAGGGAGTTTGATTGCTTTAGGGCTCATGTACACTGCAGCTGATAAACTGACGTTCAGGAGCTGTTTAGCGTTTTTTTTTTCAGCAGCCCCTGAACTCTCCCTAATGTTTTCCTATGTGTCCATGTACACTATGTTGTTTACAGTCATTTACAGGCAGTTGAGTTTACAGTTGTTTTTTTTGAACGCACCAAACTTGCGTTCAAGAGTAGATTTTCCCGGAGTTTAAAACGCCAAACGTTTGTAAACGCGGTTAACCGCGCTTGCGTTTAGAAGCGTTTTTGAACTGTTCCATTTCCAGATGCTGTTTAGAGCCTTTTTTCATCATCGGAAATGCATGCAAAGCATTTTCCATGCATTCAAATGGACCCGGTACACCAGTGCAGTCAGTTTCAGGTTTTGCATGAAGGAACAAATAGTAGAACGTGCCGCACTATGCTCAAGGTGGGATCCATAGTGAATACAACCAGAAAAGACAGGTCATCTCAAAACATACTGCTCTCTCTGCTTCTGCTTTCTGCGGACATAGTACAGGAGATGATCAGAGACTGCAGACATAGTACAGGAGATGACTAGAGACTGCGGACATAGTACAGGAGATGACCAGAGACTGCAGACACAGTACAGGAGATGACCAGAGACTGCGGACATAGTACAGGAGATGACCACAGACTGCGGACATAGTACAGGAGATGACCAGAGACCAGAGACAGCAGGAGATGGACATAGTACAGGAGATGACCAGAGACTGCAGACACAGTACAGGAGATTATTATTATACAGTATTTATAAAGCGCCAATGGTTTGCTCAGCGCTGTACATTACAAAGGGGACAGAACATGTGACAGAACAATACCAATACAATGCAAAACATGAAGGGATCGAGGGCCCTGCTCTTTCGAGCTTGCAATCTAGGAGGGAGGGAATAGTGGTACAGGAGGAGATAGCTGTGGGGGATGGAGTGGTAGGAAGAGTGGAGGAGGTCGGCAGGTTAGCAGGGGGTGGGGTAGGCTTCCCTGAAGAGATGGGTTTTTAGGGTGTGCCTAAAGGAGAGGAGAGTAGGTGATAATCTGATGGGTTGGGGCAGGGAGTTCCAGAGGATGGGTGACACCCTGGACAAGTCCTGGAGGCGGGCATGGGAGGAGGAGACCAGGGAACTAGAGAGAAGGAGGTCTTGTGAGGAACGGAGTGTGCGTGCTGGGCGGTACTTGGATATTAGGTCGGTGATGTAGTTCGGGGCAGTATGGTGGACAGCTTTGTACATCAGTGTTAGGATTTTGAATTTGATCCGTTGCACAATCGGAAGCCAGTGGAGGGATTGGCAGAGGGGGGTGGTGGAGATGGAGCGGTTGGAAAGGTGAATGAGTCTGGCAGCCGTATTCAGGATCGACTGAAGCGGGGATAGCCAGCGGCGAGGCAGGCCAGTGAGGAGGGAGTTGCAGTAGTCGAGTCGTGATATGATGAGGGAGTGGATGAGCTGTTTAGTGGTTTCTGGGGTTAGGAACGAGCGTATTTTGGCGATGTTGCAGAGGTGGAGTCTGCACGAATTTGTTAAAGATTGGACTTGGGGCTGGAAGGATAGGTTGGAGTCCAGAATGACACCAAGTACTCTGGCCTGCGGGGCGGGTTTGATGGTGGCGTTGTTGGATGTGACAGAGAAGTCAATGGGGGGTGGTGTCCGGGCTGGGGGGGAAGACAAGAAACTCGGTTTTGGAGAGGTTCAGTTTAAGGAAGTGGAGCGACATCCAGTCTGATATGTCGCTCAGTAGGTGGTGTGATTCGGCGCGGAGACCAAGGGGTGAGGGGGGGTTGAGAGATAGATTTGTGTGTCGTCGGCATAGAGGTGGTAGTTGAAGCCGTGAGAGTGTATGAGTTGGCCAAGGGAGGAGGTGTAGATGGAGAAGAGAAGGGGCCCGAGGACAGAGCCTTGAGGGACCCCAACAGAGAGGGGGAGTGAGGGGGAGGTGGTAGCATTATAGGTAACGCTGAAAGAGCGTTGTGACATGTAGGATGAGAGCCAGGAGAGAGCAGAATCTCTGAGGCCGAGGGAGTGTAGTTTTTTTTAAGGAGGAGGGGGTGGTCGACTGTGTCGAAGGCCACAGAGAGGTCAAGTAGTAGGAGCACTGAATAATGGCCATTAGCTGACTAGAGACTGCAGACACAGTACAGGAGATGACCAGAGACTGCGGACAATAATACAGGAGATGACCAGAGACTGCAGACATAGTACAGGAGATGACCAGAGACAGCGGACATAGTACAGGAGATGACCAGAGACAGCGGACATAGTACAGGAGATGACCAGAGACAGCGGACATAGTACAGGAGATGACCAGAGACAGCGGACATAGTACAGGAGATGACCAGAGACTGCGGACATAGTACAGGAGATGACCAGAGACTGCGGACATAGTACAGGAGATGACCAGAGACTGCGGACATAGTACAGGAGATGACCAGAGACTGCGGACATAGTACAGGAGATGACCAGAGACTGCGGACGAGAACTTACTATTGCTAATGTCTATGCACCGAATTCAGCACAAGCTACCTTTTTTTTCTAAATTTTTTGGTGCTCTGGATAGGTTTTTGTCCCCCCATCTATTGGTGGGTGGGGATTTTAATCTGGTGGCAAATCCTCTTTTGGACCGTAGTTCCCCCTCGCACTCTTCCCAGGCTTTCCCAAAATCCCTTACTAAGAAATTAGATGCCCTCCAGTTGGTGGATGCCTGGAGAGCGCACAACACAGGAGCCAGGGATTACACATTTTATTCCCACCCGCATGACTCTTATGCCAGATTAGACTATATATATTGTACTCCTATTTTGCTAGCTAATTCTAGGACAGCTTGCATTCATTTGAGCCCCTGGTCGGATCACAGTATTATGGCTTTATCTATCACGTTTGTGGGATTGGCACCTACTCCCTTCTCTTGGAGACTTAATGACTCTATGCTAACTGATATTGACTCTCGCCAGGAGGTGGTTACATCTCTTCAGGAATACTTTCAATCTAATTCTACCCCTGATATTTCCCCAGCCACACTATGGGTAGCCCACAAGGCGGTCCTACGAGGCCGACTTATCTCCATGGCCTCGTCCAGAAATAGAAAACGTTTGGCAGCAAATACTACTTCTAACCCGAGAATTAGAAGCACACTATTGAAGCCATGTCGCTAATCCATCTCTACTTAATAAACAGCTACTATCCCAAAAGCGCTTGGAACTGAATGCCCTGCTTTCCCAAAAAACTGAAAAGGCCCTCCGCTGGTCGAAGGGCCTCATTCCTATTACATAGCAACTCTGCATCTACCATGTTTGCAAGGAAGTTGAACCACTCTCTGCGCCCCCCCACACGTATATAAATTACGCACAAATTCAGGTGCCATCTTATCTCTACCTCAGGAAGTCTTGGGTATTTTCGAAAATTTTTATTCTAAACTACTAGCTCCTCCGCAGTCAGATTCTGTTCCTCTTTCAGACTCATGGCTGGATTCTATACCCCTCCCTGCTCTTTCATCCCTCTCAGATTGCCTCTCTTAATGCCCCCTGTACTTTAGAGGAAATAACATGTGCGATAAGCGCGCTTAAACGCTCTACTGCGCCGGGTCCTTACGGATTTACCGCTAGCTATTATAAACATTTTGCCTCTACATTGGCTCCTTGCTTGATAACTTTATTTAATGATGTTTTACAGGGGGGTAAGTTCCCTGAGGAGATGTTGTTGGCTAACATGTCTCTAATACCCAAACCACAGAAAGACCATTGTTTGCCACAAAACTATAGACCAATCTCGGTCATGAATAACGATCTGAAAAATATTTAGCCATATTTTGGCGGACCGGTTGGCCCCTATCATCTCCTCTTTGCTTTCTCCAGACCAGTCGGGTTTTATTCCCAACAGATTTATTACTGATAACATTCGTCTCACTCTAAATGTTATTCAAGACGCCAATTTACATTCCAAAGAGGTTCTGTTGATGAGTTTGGACATAAACAAGGCCTTTGACAGTGTTCTTTGGCCCTACTTGTTCTCCTTGCTACAGAAAATGGGCTTCAGTGACGGGTTTTTTGGCAGGCATACATGCCCTATACGACTCTCCTAAAACAAGAATAAGGCTTCCCGGCTGTAACTCTGACTTCTTTACATTGGGTAGAGGTACCCACCAGGGCTGTCCTCTTTCACCCCTTTTATTTGCGCTGGTGTTGGAACCTTTGGCATTGGCGATCAAATCACATTCGGATATTTCTGGCTATTCATTATTAGTTTCACATTTTAAGCTGAGCATGTATGCTGATGATGTTATGCTTTTTATTACTAACCCGTTGACTTCTTTACCTAACTTGTGTGCTGTACTGAACGATTTTGCCAAAGTGTCAGGTCTCACCGTTAATTTTACCAAATCCGTGATTATGCCTGTTAATGTTCCTGACTCCCTAAGTGCATCTCTCCGTAGTTCTTTCCCATTTCGCTGGGTCAAGGACAGGATATCCTATCTGGGGATTAATCTCACTCCCAGATACTCGGATATGTTTACAGCTAATTATCCACCGTGTGTATCACGTCTCTCTACTTTACTGAAGATTTGGCATGGTTATCATATCTCCTTTCTGGGTAGAGTCACGGCGGTTAAAATGAATATTTTGCCCAAACTGCTTTATCTTTTTAGAGCACTTCCAGTTCCGATCTCAAAAACGTTTTTGGATCAATTTCAGCGGACTATTAACAATTTTATTTGGGGAAATAAGCATCCACGTTTTGCCTCATCCATTTTGTATCGCTCACAACGGACGGGAGGTCTCGGTCTTCCCAACTTTTGGCTATATTACCTCTCGGCTCATTTTGCGCAATTGTCACAATGGGCAACTATTAACTCTCAAATCCCATGGATCAAGTTTGAGTCTCAGTCGATACGTCCTTTTTATTTACCGGGAATTTTATGGTCTAACATCTCCCCCCGATCGCTTATTTTTCATAACTCCATAGTGACCCATTCGCTGACACTTTGGTCCAAACACAAATCTAAATTGAGTTTAGTCTCTCCTATTCCCCCAGGTGTGTCATTTTTTGGTGATCCTACTTTTGTTGTAGCCTTTTCTTCCCCTCACATGTTTCGTTGGTGGTATGATCGATCTTTTATCAGATTATCTGATTTCCAAAGAGGAGGATCTTATATTACCTTTGATATGCTGCGCGTGTTGTTTGATGTTCCTCTTCGTGAGTACCTTCGTTATAGACAGATTAGGCACTTTTTTACTGTGCACTTTGGCCTTACCCCATCCTCTCCGATTTCCTTTTTTGAACGTATCAGCTGTGACTCTCCCAGGGGTAGGGGTCTTATTTCAGATCTTTATCACCAATTTTTGATCTGTCTTTTTCATACTCCCCCTTTGTACAGACGAAAATGGGAGGAGGATTGTGGCATCACTCTTTCAGATGAGGATTGGGATTCCATGGTGGATAATATATGCAAGAGCTCTAGATCTTTTTCGGTTCGTGAGACGGCCCTTAAAGTTCTAACCAGATGGTATTATACCCCGTCAAGACTACATGTTTTGTTCCCCACAAACGTCCCCTTTATGTTTTCGGGGCTGTGGCTGCACAGGTACTTTGGTTCATATATTTTGGGATTGCCCGAACATATCTTTGATCTGGCGTAGCATTTCTGAAGTGGCTGCCTCATTGTCAGGTTCCCCGATACGATTGTCCATGCAGACCTGTTTATTGGGGGCCCATATCCCAGGGGTCTCTGATGCCACTCTGAGATTGATACATACATTATGTATTGCCACTTTATGGTCTATTGCCCTACATTGGAGGTCCAATGTTGTACCCTTGGACTCCGTTTTACACAGAATTGACGCTGTAATGCTTATGGAACGTATTCATTATACCCTACTGGATAAGATGCATTATACGATAAAAAATGGGAGTCATGGAGAGATTGTAGACATTTATTGCATGCTTAATAACATCCCCAGTAAAAGTTGGCTGACATATACTGTTGACAGATGTATCACTCAACCTACTTTATCGTTTACGTATTTCATGCAGTCGTAACTTCCTCTTTTCTTTTATCTTCTTTGTTATGTTAATATACTTTTATGTATTGTACTTTTCAAAAGTGCCTTGTTTTTGTTGACAATATCACTTTAAAAATGTGCTGTTGTTTTACTGTCTACTCTTGTACAATAAAATCGTTTGTAAACAAAAAAAAAACAAAAAACAGAAACTGAAGTTAGGCTTTAAAACATCACATATGTTGGGTCATTATGACAATGCATTTTAAAGCATGGTTTTATACTATATCTTCTTTATGTGCAATTTTCAGAAAATCTTTTTACTTATTAATGAATGTTAATGCAAATATGTTCTTCCTGCAGAAAATCATAGATTGGAGTCAACATATCAAAACCACTTGGTGCTCAAGGTCTTAGTGGTAAGTGTCCATTATGTTTGTTGTTCATTTGCAATGTGTGGTATGATAAAGAGAGCTTAATATAGTCATCATAAGTTTGTGACTTCTCACCCCTGTTATTTGTTCCTTAACTAGATTAATGCAGTTTGTAGAGCAGTATTTCCTCAGGTACAAAAGTGAACATGCTAAAGAGAGTTTTTTTTCATAATGGTGTGAACACAAGCCTAATACTTAAATTAGTAAGAGAACCTATATTGCTGCCTGCTCGTTTGTCTCTTGGTATATGTGCCAATCTGTGCCAATATGTGCCTTCTTCCTAGTGTCCTAGGTGTCAGCTCCTGTATGTGGACTCGAGAATTATAAAATAATAATAGGTTCGCCTGAACTCCCTTGGCTCCCTTATTGCTTTGATTGGAGAAGAGTGCAATAAAAACCTCAAATGAATGAGAAAGGGATGTAAACTGGAAAGTGACAGTGAACATAAGTTCAACCAACGTATGCAAAAAAAAAACAAGTTACCGAGTTCACGATGCTACAGTTTTTTGCAATATGCATCTATTAATGGTGTTTAGAGTGTTCCAACTATCTCATTAAGATTCAAATTAAAATCTAATACTCCAATCTAACAGTCACTATACAGATCAAATATGGAACCTATGTACACCCAGGATCATAGCTCCACATATTTAAAGCCTAACTTCATGTTTAGTGTCCCTTTTAAATAGTTTGTTTTGGCCCAAGCTGATCACAATCTTCAGCTCAGCCATTTACAGGAAGCATTGTATTCTATGAATGGATACAAAGCATCCTCTGATTGGCTGAGGTGAAGATCGTGGCATCTATACACCTGCCTTTTCACCTCAGCCAATCAGAGGACGCTTTGTATTCTTTTCTAGAATACAAAGCTTCCTGTAAATGGCTGGGCAACTCTCAGCCCCACTCTCTTTTGACAGGTGATACAACACCCAGCAAGTGCATCGGTTAAAGTGATTCTAAAGGCTGAAGCTTTTTTACCTAAATGCATTCTATGAGTACAGCTACACCCCTCTTCCTCTCCTGAGCCCAATATCAATCCAGAGCTGTGCCAAGAAAGCAGAGACTGTCTCTGCTCTCTCCCTCATCATAGGATCAGAGACAGCAGTGGGAGCCATTGGTTCCCGCTACTGTCAATCATCCAGTGAGGCGGAAGCAGGGGTATGGCTGAGCCATGCTCCATGTGTCAATGGACACACAGGGAGTGGCTTGGGAACAAGCCTGCACAAGTTCCCCTAAAGCATGAGGCTGGGGGGCAGTCGAGGGGGGGGGGGGGGGGGTAGGTGCCCAGAGCGCCGGTGGGGGAACAGAGAGGATCGGGGGAAAAGAGGAGGATCGGGGCTGCTGTGTACAAAACCAGCACACAGTGCTGGTAAATATGACATGTTTGTTATTTTTAAAGAAAATATATTTAGGTTTACAATCACTGTAATGTAGTAAATAGTTTGGGCCAGCTTCCATTCCTGGATATCCTGAGGCTTTAATTAAAATGTGTTGCTGCTGTTACTTTCCTCTATGCAGCATTGAGGTTTTCATTTTAGGAGCAGGGTGATGTAAGTGACATATGCCCTCTTCAAGGCCTCTTCATATTTTTGCTGAGCTATGAATGTCTCTTCTAGTAAACGTTTTAATGCCAATACTACCAATTGCACAGAACACAATTGGCATTAAAAAAGGAGTGGAATTATAAATCATCCCTTCTACAGGGTTGCTTCATGAACAGTTTATGTGATTATTATTATTATACAGTGTTTATATAGCACCAAAAAGTTTGCTCAGCGCTGTACAATATAGTGGGGGACAATAAATGAGACAATACAGTAACAAAACAATATACGAGAGGTTCGAGGGCCCTGCTCTTTCAAGCTTACAATCTAGGAGGGAGGGGATAGTGGTACAGGAGGAGGTGGCTGTGGGGGATGGAGAGTGGTAGGAGGAGTGGAGGAGATCGGCTGTTAGGTGAGGGTGGGGTAGGCTTCCCTGAAGAGATGGGTTTTCAGGGTGCGCGTAAAGGTGAGGAGGGTAGGTGACAGTCTGATGGATTGGGGTAGTGAGTTCCAGAGGATGGGGGAAGTCCTGGAGAAGTCCTGCAGTTGGGCTGTGTGGGAGGAGGAGACCAGGGAGCTAGAAAGTAGGAGGTCTTGTGAGGAGCGAAGAGTACAGGTTGGGTGGTATTTGGGTATCAGGTCGGTGAGGTTAGTTTGGGGCAGTGTTATGAATGGCTTTGTACGTCAGTGTTAGTAGTTTGAATTTAATGCGTTGGGCAATCGGGAGCCAGTGGAGGGAATGACCGGGGGGGGTGGCAGATGCGGAGCGGTTGCATGATTCAGGGTGGATGAGTCTGGCTGCTGAGTTCAGGATAGACTGAAGCGGAGATAGTCTGTGATGAGTTAGGCCGGTGAGGAGGGAGTTGCAGTAGTCGAGTCGTGAGATAATAAGGGAGTGAATGAGTTGTTTAGTAGTGTCTGGGGTTAGGAACGTACGTATTTTGGAGATGTTGCGGAAGTGGAGTCTGTATGAGGTTTCCAGCGATTGGACATGGGGTTGGCAGGACAGATTTGAGTCTAGAGTGACACCTAGGACATTGGCTTGCGGGGTGGGACTGATGGTGGCGTTGTTGGTCGTGATGGAGAGGGTGGGGCGCAGGCTGGGGGGGAAATTTGGAGCTCAGTTTTGGAAAGGTTTAATTTGAGGAAGTGGAGTGACATCCAGTCTGATATGTCGTTCAGTAGGCAGGTGATTCGGGCGGAGACTGAAGGGGTGAGGCGTGTCATCAGCATAGAGGTGGTAGTTGAAGCCGTGGGAGTGTATCAGTTGGCCAAGGGAGGAGGTGTAGATGGAGAAGAGAAGGGGCCCGAGGACAGAGCCTTGGGGGACCCCAACAGAGAGAAGGAGAGAGGGGGAGGTGGCAGCGTTATAGGTAATGCTGAAGGAGCGTTGAGATAGATAGGAGGAGAGCCAGGAGAGAGTGGAGTCTCTGATGCCAAGGGAGTATAGTTTATTAAGGAGGAGGGGGTGGTCAACTGTGTCGAAGGCCGCGGAGAGGTCGAGGAGTAGGAGGACTGAGTAGTGGCCATTAGCTTTGGCGGTTAACAGGTCACTAGTGATTTTGAGTAGCGCGGTTTCGGTGGAATGTTGGGGACGGAAGCCAGACTGTAGTGGATCGAGGAGGTTGTTGTCATTGAGGTGGGAGCTTAGGCGATTGTAGACTAATCGCTCGAGGAGTTTGGATGAAAATGGCAGCAGGGAGATGGGTCTAAGGTTGCTGAGGTCGGAGGGTTTTTTTGAGTATGGGAGTGATGTGCGCGTGCTTTAGGGGGGGAGGGGAATGTGCCAGTATAGAGGGAGAGATTGAAGATGTGGGTGAGGGAGCATAGAATGGAGGAGGAGGAAGACCGGAGGAGTTGTGTGGGGACAGGGTCAAGGGGGCAAGTGGTGAGGCGGGCTTCTGAGAAGACCTTAGTGATCTCTTCAGTGGTAGCAAGGCTGAAGAAGTGGAGTGTTGTGGAGGTTTTAGTGTGCGGGATGTTAGGTGTGGTGAGGGTCAGGGCGGTTTCAAGGTCAGAGGAGGGGAGAGTTGAGGGGGTTATCGTGGGAGGGAGGCTAGGTGGTGGTCCTGCAGTTCTGGGAAAGAAGGTGTAATCCTAACTCCAGAAGCATTCTGGTTCTTTATTTTGTCATGAATTGATGCTTCTTAAAGATAGGACTCTATTTATGGCATTTATTTTGTAAGCTGTAATGAACAGGCCCCTCTGATCCCTCCTGTATTAATTTGTGTTGTAATTGTACTGCCCTTATGTTGTAAAGCGCTGCATAAACTGTTGGCGCTATATAAATCCTGTATAATAATAATAACAACATGAATTTATAGTACACCTCTGAAGTGCTCCAGTAGAATCCGTCTCTTCACAAGTCGATCAACCCTGATAATGTACGCAGCGTCAGGAGAGGATGTAGGCTGCCATTGCTGACATTTCTCTTTGGGAATGCTCAAATGCTAGTTCCCTGACTGTGATGCTGATACTAATGCTTTATTAACCATATAAATGCTGCGCTACATTCAAACTAATTAAGTGAATGTGGAATCCAATGACACAAATCCAATATAGTGACAATATTAGTGAAATAAATAATACGTGCTTACTGATAACAAAATTATCAAATAAAACACCCAAAAAGATGAAAAAACACAAACTTAAATCTATACGCATGTGCATGAAAATACACATACATATAATTACATCACACGTGCAAATGTGAAGTGAAATAATGGTTACTTATTAAACGCAAACAAAAAGTCCAATGTAAAAATGTTGAAGGTGAACAAAACTGTAAACGGTGTTCCAATAATACTGTAAAGTGACCACAGGTGAAAACAAATCGTGCAGGTATCTGGGTGTAGATAGAGCTTATGAATCCAACCACCTTCTGGATTAGCCTCTCACCTCATCACTTCGACCCTTGCGGATCAAAGAGCAATAATGGATCCCTCTCACAGATCCTCCAGGTACCACAGCACTCCAGAAACGCTTTTCAGGATATAATATTCCCACTCAAGCTCTTCTCCAGGTATAGGTGAAATATCAATCTCTCAGAACAAAACAGAGGAATCCTCCCATAGTGTAGTATATTTATTATACCATAGGAACATAGGAACATAAAACTTTTTGGTAAAAATTCCACTTACATAGCAGCCAGTCCACGTGGACTGGCTGCTATGTAAGTGGAATTTTTACCAAAAAGTTTTATGTTCCTATGTTCCTATGGTATAATAAATATACTACACTATGGGAGGATTCCTCTGTTTTGTTCTGAGAGATTGATATTTCACCTATACCTGGAGAAGAGCTTGAGTGGGAATATTATATCCTGAAAAGCGTTTCTGGAGTGCTGTGGTACCTGGAGGATCTGTGAGAGGGATCCATTATTGCTCTTTGATCCGCAAGGGTCGAAGTGATGAGGTGAGAGGCTAATCCAGAAGGTGGTTGGA